ACTTCTTCGGATGCAAGTGGGCTGTAGTCCACGAAAGCTTACGCTCTAATAAATTTGTTAGTCTCTAAGGTGCCACAAGTACTCCTGTTCTTCTTTTTGCGGATACAGACTAACACGGCTGCTACTCTGAAACTTATTAATGGTTACCTTTCCTGTTTTATAAAGTAGATCTTCTCCCAAGGAGTCAGTTATGAGAAAGCTGCTGGTTTTCAGTCAAAACCAAGACCCAAGTTTTCATAACTATGGCCACACCCTTCAAGGGGTTTCCTCAGTAAGGGGATACCAAAATGGGAAATAAAAGGAGAAGCAAAAAGCCAAACTCAGTGTTTTGACCCCACAGTCAGGATTCCCCCACCCCCACCCCACCATTGTGCAGCCTCCACGTTGTCTTCAGATACTCCTATACTCCTGCTGATTTGAAATGCAAATGTCGCTCCCATTGTGTTTGGCTTACAGTGCTTAATCTACATATTAACCTAGGCAGACTCCTGAACATACATGCCTTTGTCTGGCGAAACCAGTTCTTCACTTCTGCGGGGAATAATACCTTGATACAAACCACAAGGACATAATTTTTTACATATAATCCGTACATAGATATCACAACAATATTAATGATCAGCAAGATATTAGCTTTCATTTAAGATCTCACACAATGTGCGTTACTGATAAATGCCATGACAGCAACATCATAGATATAGTGAGTTTAGCAGGCCCAGCAGGAGTTGCTGTTACAGAACAGTGAGCCCTTTGCCAGTTGGTGTGGAGGAGCTCTTAGGCTGGGTCTACACTACCCGCCTGAATCGGCGGGTAGAAATCGACCTCTCGGGGATCGATTTATCGCGTCCCATCGGGACGCGACAGTCGATCCCCGAATCGACGCTCTTACTCCACCAGCAGAGGTGGGAGTAAGTGCCGTCGACGGGAAGCCGCAGAGGTCGATTTTGCCGCCGTCCCTACAGTGGGGTAAGTCGGCTGCGATACGTCGAATTCAGCTACGCTATTCGCGTAGCTGAATTTGCGTATCTTAAATCGACCCCCCCTGCAGTGTAGATGTAGCCTTAGAGTCACACCTTTACCTCTCCATTTCTCATTCCCTCTGCTTTCATTTGTTGCTTTCATTTTGTAACTGCTGTTTAACTCAACAAACCATTTTGAGATCACTTACATGAAAGACATTGCAAAATGAAGTATTTAATTGCATCAGTTTTAGAGGGGCAAGCTAACACAAAAAGATTGTGATTTTTCCCCAAGGCCATGGGGAAAGGAAGGGTAAAAGTAAGGGGGTAGAGAGGTTGTTTTACCTTTGTATTTGGCACTGGTGTGACCACTGCTGGAATACGGTGTCCAGTTCTGGAGTCTACAATTCAAGAAGGATGTTGATAAATTGGAGAGGGTGTAGAGGGAGAGCCCAGAGAATAATTAAAAGATTAGAAAACATCCTTGCAGTGGCAGATGCAAAGAGCTCAATCTACTTAGCTTAACAAAGAGAAGGCTAAGGGGTGACTTGATTACGTTCTCTAAGTACCTACATGGGGAACAAATATTTAATAATGGGCTCTTCAGTCAAGCAAACAGGAGATATAACATGATTGAATGGCTGGCAGTTGAAGTTAGACAAATTCAGATGGGAAGTAAGGTGTACACTTTTAATAGTGAGGGTAATTAACCATTGGAACAATTTACCATTCTCCATCAGTGGTAACTTTAAAATCAAGATTGGATATTTTTCTAAAAGATCTGCTGTAGGAATTATTAGGAGGACGTTCTCTAGTCTGTATTATTTCATTTTCATTCATAATACATAAAAGGTTGTTACAAGGAGGAGAGTGAAAAATTGTTCTCGTTAACCTCTGAGGATAGGACAAGAAGCAGTTGGCTTAAATTGCAGCAAGGGAGGGTTAGATTGGATATTAGGAGAAACTTCCTAACTGTCAGGGTGGTTAAGCACTGGAACAAATTGCCTACGGAGGTTGTGGAATCTCCATCATAGGAGGTTTTTAAGAACAAGTTAGACAAACACCTGTCAGGAATGGTCTAATTATTACTTAGTCCTGCCTTGAGTGCAGGGGAGAGGACTAGATGACCTATTGAGATCCCTTTCAGTTTTACACTTCTTAAAGACAGCTAAATTTACAGTAATACTTTCCTAATAATACTTTTCCATGTAAATAATTGTTGCAGTTGCTGCAGGGATTTTATGGGATTGTGAATCAGAGGGGAGGTGTCCACACTCTGGAAAAAGTTTAAGAGCCTGTGCTATTAGACCAAATTCAGAGAGATGTGAATATAAACACCATTTCAGATTAAATATTGCATAGTACATTGTTTTAAAAAGGCACCCTGAATGACTATGGCTATATATCTTCCTTCCCAGTGCAGGTCTCCCATTAACTCAGTTCGTTGTTTCTGTTCTGTAGGGCAGGAGGAAGGACCATTTACATTTCCTAATGAAGAAGTGGCTGAACACAATGAAGAGAGCAAGGACCGAACAATTATGCTTATGGGTGTCTCGTCCCAAAAAATCTCAGTGAGAGTGAAGCCAGCTGTTCTTGACAAGAGCACACAGACTGAGCCAGCACTGGCAAATAGCGCTGTACCCAGTAGGCAGATAGAGAAGGAGCACGGGATGCCATCGGAAAATATTTATCTACAGCCCGCAACACCATCTCCATGCCCAAGCCCAGTTCTAAGCCGCAAAAAGGCTTATGTAAAATGGGAAAACAAAGACTCAAGTCAGAAACGAAAGGATGAGCAGCACATCTATAAACCTTCGTACCAGGAAGTGGAGCAGGTACTTACACAATGGACCACATTCTCCTTTACACTACAGTGGCACAGTAAAGAGGCCTTAAAGTTGATTTAACAATCTACTGTCACTTCAAGGGCCCTTTGCACTGCCAGGGTAATTAACTACTGGACCAATTAATAACGGATATTTGTAGAGCCTCCATCCCTTGAAAACTTTAAATCAAGATTGGATATATTTCTAAAAGATATGCACTAGTTCAAGCGTAAGCTATTGGGCTTGATGCAGAAATCATTGGGCCTTTCTTATGCAGGAAGTCAGATTAAATTATCACAATGATCCCTTTCAGCCTTAAAATCCATAGGTGAAATCCTGGTCTCATTGAAGTCACTGGAGCCAGGATTTTACCCTATAAATCTAGTCATCAATTTTAGGGACACTCCAGACTGGGCAATAGTTTGCAAATTAGTTTCCACAGTGAAGATGTTGCCATTAAATTGTAAGCCACTATGCTCATGCCAGGTTAACCCTGCCTTGCCCAAAACTCTCTCCAGCTAAACAATAGCACTAACAAAACCAGACTTTACCATGAGAAAGATGTGAACTTCAAAATCTAAATGGGATCATTAAATATTATAATTTGTTTCTCTTTTTGCATTTCTAAAAATAATAAAAATCCATAGGAAGTTAAAGCCTTCCCCCCATAAAACTCTGAATGCAACTTCAAGGTGATACAGTTAATTATAAAAACTCAAGAAATACAGAAGCTAAAGCTTCCATAAATAACCTTAACTCTGCAGAACAAAATTTAGCATTCTAGTCCCATTTTTCTATTTAAAAGAACAGGCAAGTGTATAACAGTTTATGTTCCAATATGTGCACATCATAAAATTGATTGGAAGGACAATATGGCCAAGTTCTCTTTGCTGTTGAAATATTACACTTTCCTGATTCTGATTTTTACTGTGTAGAAGCTGCATTAACACAGTTTTTTGCATTTAACACCTAGAAAGGTCTATTTGAGTGGTCAAAGAAAGAAAGAGAGATGACACTGGAGAACATGAGGCTGGAACCAATGAAACTGAAGTGAATATACAGAAAGAAAGACATTGAATGTGTGGGCTAGTCAGCTATGGAGAAAACAAGAAGGCTAATAGAAATAAGAAAGCTGGAAGGGAATGACAAGCACATGATTGTGAGGGTAAAAATTAAGGAAAAATACCCCCAAAGAAATGTAAATAAGAGAAAAGAATAGCACGGAATTCATGATATGGGAGGGCACAGATAGCAGCCGAGAATAAAACCAGAAGAGAGATAGATGAGGACTAATGAAAGAGAGAGAAAAAGAACTTTATAGAAATGAAAAGCATTCAATAGAGTAAAATGGACAAACCAGACAATCAGCAATGAGGAACTGTAAAATCTATTTACAATATTAACAATTGTAAAATAACTACATAGAAGCCCAAACCTAGATTGGGGCATTGTTCTAAGCCAGGGGTCGTCAACCTACGGCACACGAGACAGTTTTTAATGGCACGCTGATGCCTATCGCCTGCCGGGGTCCCAGCCCCACTCAGCCCCCCCTGCCCACCGCTCTCTCCTGCGGGGGCAGGAGGTTGGTCTTGCTGGCAGCCAAGCTCCCCCTCCCCCGCTTCTTCCCCCAGCGTGGTGCTTTCCTGCCCCATCTCCTCTCCTTCCCTGTGCCGATCAGCAGATCGCCCTTGTGATGGGGAGAGGGAGAAGCAGAGCTGCAGCGTGCTCACTGCTCCGGGGAGGAGGCAGAGAAGAGGTAGGGACGGGGGTCTTGGGGAAAGTGGTGGAATCGGGGCATATCCCCTCCAGCCCCCTGCCGTGAGCTGCT